GCCTCCAGACTTCCTGTCTGCGTGCACTCCAGTGAAGGCCGCACAGCCTTTTTCAGGGCCGGTGCTCTGTCGAAATGGCCAACTTGTCGAGGTCTCCAGCTCGTAACGTCACATCCGTTGAAGATTTCGACGAGATGGCGCTAGTGTGCGCGCGCCAGCCTTGGCATTTTTCCAAGCCTCGTCCACTAACCCATTTTGCCTGTGCGGGCCCCCGCAATCCTCATCGAGTTCTCCAACTGGCATCACTGCTTGTGCCATTGGATGCCCACACAGGCACACTAACGCAAATTGCAGAACGTGATACTGCTCTTAGGTGGCCGCGCAGGTGCACTGATGCAAATTAGAGAACGCGATACTGCTCTTAGGTAGCCGCGCTGGCGCTCTGACGGGAGTTGGAGATCTCGACAAGTTGGACATCTCGATAGAACGCCGGTTTCCTGATGGTGACTACAGTGGCCCACGTCTGTGTAACGTGTGCTGAAATGGCCCAAACGTGGTTGGTTTCTCTGCTCTTCTCCCTCATTGGTCAGGAATAAAGCTCCTCCTAAGTTCCAAAGTATTCCTCTGGGTATCGGCTTCGTAGAAGAGAAGTTCACTTCAGCTCACGCCTATCCCAGTCAGTTGTTACAAGTATCTTTGGAAGTGCAACATAGTTTCTTTGTGTAACAAAAATTGATTGTGCTTTTTTCTTTTTTTCAATGTAGTCTCCATTGCAAGCCTGTGTGACAACGCAAGAGCGCAGTTGGGAGACGGGGACAGAGCATTGTCATCTTATAACAGGTAGTGCCAGTTTTCAGTCTGTTTAAATGTCCTCCATCAGGTAGTGGAGTTGCGTGTGGGCTTACAGGAAGGGACGTAGAAATAAAAAATGGTGGGAATTTAGGGATTGCACATTTTCCCCCCGACTGCTGCTCGGCAACCAGCGGCTGCCCATAGGCCCTGTACCCGGCGAAGGTAAAAGGCGCTATTTTTTTCTTTTTTTGAAGCCCGTGGAACGTGCATCGAAAACGACTTCCGCCTGTGAACAAAAAAAGTGAACCGTGAAATCACAGCACACAAAAACGTGCACACGGGTGCTTGGTCCTTCAATAAAGAAGGGCCCTAGTTTCCCGACCCCCCCGGGGCGCGAGGCTCCTGACAGGGGTTGAGTTTGTTGGTCCACCAATGGAGACAGAGAACCCTATATAAGGGCACAGAATCTCCCCCCCACATCGGGAAAAGGCCCCGAAGGACCTACACCCTCTGCAATCTGTGGGTTTTCAATAAAAAAAAGCCAATTCGTGCATCGTGCATAGAGTGCAATAAGTAATACTAAAGTGCCAGTGCACCACGCCGACAGGCCTTAGGGGCCGGAGTGCAAAAATATTGCCCTGGACTAGCCATAAGGCCTGTCCAAGAGGCGCTGTGCCGAAAATGCAAGGTGGTGTGTGACCAAGTGCATCAGTGAGTCAATGTGGGGTCCCACACCCAAGTGACTTTCTGAGCACCCATGGGACGCCACCCCCAGGGGGCACAACACCACGGGCTTCTGCCGCCCCCAACCCTCCAGCCAGACCAAGCTTCGTATCCATTCAGTCAGAAAGCCTGTACCGGGCTGTTCCCCTCTCACAGGAAGCAACCCAGTACGCTCTTTCACTCCAGCGAGTACTAAGATCCATCCCCCACAAGGACCGTCTTTTCCCCACCGAAAACTGATAAGAACAGATACACTTGATCTTAGCCAAAATGAGAAGACGCTATACCTCAGACGGCCAGCAGGTGGAGACAGTATCGCACCCAACCCAGTCCTTTCATCTCTCCACTCCCTGTCCCAGTGCGATTACAGAACGGAATGTGCTATTATGAACCCTGAACTGCTGACCGCAGAATTCACCAACCTTCTTGCACAGCATTAGAGTGCAAGCTTTTCGCATCAAATCACACTTCCTGGAGCCAATCGGCTGGAGACATCGAAGAGGTTTGTAAAAAAGTAATGTCATTTAAACGCCACTGGAAAGGTCGTCACATGACCTCACAAAGATGCGCAAATCCGTCACCGGCTGTTGTGCTGCTGGTAAAAGCCGACTCCACCTAAAACTGATCCGTTGGCTGTGCCTTGTTTCTAGTCAAGTCAAATGATGGTGGCATGCTTGTACCTCTGGGGGCGGGGCCGGGGGATCGCCTTCAGATTTCCCTGCTCTGTCCCAACTGCAACAGTCGTTCCAAACCCAAATGATGGTGTCACCCTTCTCGGTTGGATTTCCCCAGAACAGTTACTGGGGGTGTTTAGAGGAGAGAGCATGACTCCTTTTGTTTTGGGTTTGTAGGAGGGGCAGTGACACAAACTACTGGGGGAATCTCACCATTGTGGGAGGGGCAGAGACACAAACTACTGGGGGGAATCTCACCATTGTGGGAGGGGCAGAGACAAACTACTGGGGGAACTTTCATCATTGTGGTAGGAGCAGAGACACAAACTACTGGGGGGAATCTCACCATTGTGGGAGGGGCAGAGACAAACTACTGGGGGAACTCTCATCATTGTGGTAGGAGCAGAGACACAAACTACTGGAGGAAATCTCACCATTGTGGGAGGGGCAGAGACACAAACTACTGGGGGAAATCTCACCATTGTGGGAGGGGCAGAGCCACAAACTACTGGAGGAAATCCTCACCATTTTGTGCAGGAAATGTCTCCTTCACGGAGGAGAAGCCCAATTGGCACAGTGTCGGGGCAGACGTCTGTGATAAGCCCGCCCCGAGGGTCTGGTGTGCGTCATACACACTCTCATTATACAGGGCGTGTGCGACAGACGAAACTCTCTCATCTCAGTCTCTCTTCCCACACATTGCGATCATGCACATACTTGTCACCAGAGCTCATAAACGCACACATTACAAAACACATGTTCACACATACACAGACATGTCTATTTATAACCCATCAAATCTGACACCCCACCATTTTTCATGTCGCTCTTCACCAATCAGGAGGCACCACAACAAAATTATTTAAATATCATAATTTATTTGACAACTATCTACACTCCTAGCTATGTTACAGCACAATAGATACAGAAGAAGGCCGGGAGACCCACAATAAATACAAGCAGTGGGGGGGGGGTATATTACAGGGAGCAGTGCTTTTCAAGTACCCTAAGTATCGACAGCAGTATCAAGTTAGCGGAAGATCAGAAAGCAGCATGGTTTTAATGGCGGGATTTAAATTTGGGGGGTCCTGTTTGATCATTGAAACCCTTTCGAATCGGGGTGCCACTAAAGCTAAAACGAGCTTGGTGCAAAAAGTTCTGCACAGAAGTTTTGGGGCACAGAATTGTTGTTGGGATGTAAACTCGACTATCATAATTAGGATTAACAAGCCAGTAGCTTGGGTTTAATTTTGGTTATCTAGTTGTATACGTTGTTTCACTGAGATCATTCCGATTGAAGAGTTCCCATTAAATTTATGAATGCTCTGAACTATTGACTTGCTTATGTCTTTCCCCTCTTCCTTGACCCACCAAACTGTTTTTACTTTAAGCAGTGGCGTCACCATGGCCATACCAGCCCACGCGGCTGCCACGAGGCCCGGTGGGTGGAAGGGGGCCCCATAAGGGAGGTTGTTGTGGCAAATAGTACATCTGAGCACATGTGAAGATAACTTCAACCCTACTGTGTTGACCATAAACCTGAACCCCTGTAAAGAAGAACAAAGGGAGTCTTTGGGATGTTGGTGTCGCTAGGGTTGTGGTGAGGCCCATGATCTGTAGTTACACCCCTGATTTTAAGCTTTGACATACTCATCCAACCTTCTGTGTCCTAAACCAGGTGATCTGGGCTCTGATGCATCAAACTTTAATATCAAGTGCTAAATAGTGCTTAAGGTATGCTAAAGTGGCATCTCAGCCAATGTTGTTGCATATGAAGGTAAATGGTAGCTGACCCCTTTGTTATCTCTTTTTCTCTGTAGGCTACTTATGCTTCTGTTTGGACCTGTTGGTCCTGCCAGTATCACCTGCCTCAGGAACTTCCACTCCAACGCTACATTAGTGCGAGCGTTTGCAGGCCCAAGGACAGGGATAGGCAACCTTGGCACTCCAGCCGTAGTGAAACTACGAGTGCCTCTGAGTCATGCAGTGCCTCATGGGAATTGCCTATCCTTGCTCTAGGATGAAGCAGGTTCATCTTGATTGACTTAATTGCCAGCTACACTTCATTGAGGCCAAAGCATCAGGGCCGCCTCCAGCTCATCCAACATGAGCTGGCCACAGCACTGCCCTCCGTTGTGCACAGTCATGAGCCATTGCGTCGTGGACAGGGTGATGAATGGAAAGCCACAAAAATGAAGTTATTGAAATGATTCCAAGTATAAAACAAAGAGATCCACTTTAAACTATCTTTTAATTTTTTGGTGGGTTGATATACTTAAGCACTCTTTAGCAACGTCTATGTAATGCTGCAGCTTGATGAACCCAGGCTAAAATTCATTCCCCCTGATGGCCGTACTGGTGGCCTGAACCTGACCAATTCCTACCAACAAGAGCCCTATGATTTGAGACTGGAACATTTGCCATTATGTAAGGCACGTCAGATGAAGTAATAGTTAACAGTCAAAGTGCAGGAATTTGAGGTTCTCCCAGTTTTGGGTGTTACCTTTCCTTCCGTCTGTATAAAAAATAAAAATAAAACAGCACCTTGGAACCTTCTAGATGGAGATTACTTTCACAGTGGAATCGGTAGCGACTCTCCTAATAGGATATTAGTCAACTCGAGATGCTGGAACATTACCAAAATGATATAACCTGTATGTCAGTGTACAGAGCCGAAGCCAGACAGAGGTGTGCGCCGTTACGCAACACCCAAACCAGACATCTAGCGGCACAAAACAGGGACAAAATGATCCGTACACTCCCTTGGGGCTTCCCCCATCTCCTGATAATCATCCAGTACAGGAGTAGTTAACATACCAGCTTAATATGACTCAGGTTTTTTGGGTTCAGGAGAATCTCTTCTGCCAAGGAGAAGACAGATTGAAGATTTTGGGGTGCTGCCCAGTGTTGGGTGACCTCCAGCCCATCATGGTTTCAAAGAATCTTTGGTTTCGCTGACAAGTCTAAGGCACCATTTTCCCGCCGCTGCATAGTTTTAACACCCAGAATGCAGCAGTCAGACATGGAAGATCCATCTACGGTGCTTCCTCTTGCCTCCACGGGGAAGGTTTCTCAAGAGGAAAGGTTGTTAACGTGGATGCATTTACTAGAAGAGTCCTAAAACCAACCAAAGTATAAAAATAACGTCTATAGGATGGTACAAGTGTCAAGTAAATTCTTCCCGTTACTCAAGGGCACAGCCAAAGAGTAGAGGCTCTACCAGGCGACAGTCTTCGAAAGGTTAAGAGCAATCCATATAGTCCTTTCCGTCAGGCCACCAGCTGTTCACGTGGAACACCACAGATGCCGGCATCATCGCACGTTACTTTCGGCTCATGTTTCCACCAGCTTGATAAGTGGCTGAGGCCTGCCCGATCCAGCCGGAAGGTACACTCGCTTGCTATGGAGAGAAAGAAGGGGTATTAGATGTGGTCCTAAAAGAAAAGTGTAGAGTATGTTCAAGAAACATCTACAAATGTTAATTGTGCCTATAAGCAGTACGCTGAAAAATCTAGATATTGACCTTGAATTCCACCTCAAAATTAGCAGAGCACTTTCTGTGCCTAACCACTCCTGTTCTGTAGCCTTAAAGCTGTACACAAGCAGTGTGAGATCTAAGGCACTGCTGCCTTTGACTGCCAGTCTTTCAAGATTTGTAGTGAGATTTGGTGATGCCATTATTGTGCTGCTCACTGTTCTCCTTACTGGAGAGGACGATGTACCTGAAGACCTGCAGTTGAAGGGTCTCTCTGCTTCCAAGCGTGGTAGTCTCATGAGATTTGGTGATGTCATTGCTGTGCTGCTCATTGTTCTCCTTACTGGAGAGGAAGATGGACCTGCAGTGCAGGGATATCGCTGCTTCCAAGCCTGGTAGTCTCAGGATATATGTAATGAGGTTTGGTGATGCCACTACTGTGCTGCTCACTGTTTTTGTTACTGGAGAGGAAGATGTGCCTGAGGCCGTGTAGTACAAGACTCCCCCTAATGCCAAGATGGCTGCCACCACACAGTGCAGAAAAAGTCATGGTAATGAGGATCAGCTGCAAGGAGACCACCGCAACACTGGTGACTAGTCCTTTTGCTTTCTGTTTTTTGGGCACAGTTTCTATATTTTTTTTAATGTGACTTTTACATTAAATCTCCCCTACACATCCCTACCGTTCCATTATCAGTACGAGCCTTATGTCTAATTTCTGTATTAGCTCTGTGCTAGTTGATGTTAGAGCTTTCACCGGGAAGATGTGCTCCCTTGCGTGCCAGTGTCCAAGTGTGGCAACTGCCCCAAGCAATGCATCTTCTGAGAAAGAGAAAAAAGTCACATGTTCCCCCAAACCTGCAAGCACTAAGAAGTAAGGTTAGAGTGGCTTCCAGCCTCTACAGAGTGATGGTTTGTGCTGCGTGACTGGGCACCCTTTGGCAGCAGAAGGAGCCGGTGCAGCTGCCCACAGTGGTGCCACTAGATGCGTCCTGCACCCCCCCCCCCCTTGCAGTACCATGGCACCTTCCAATTTGGGAACCACTAGGCTAGCATAACAATAATGTTTTTTTTAGATAGGCAAGCTTCTGGAATAGTTACAACTCAGAAGGCCGATGGAATAGATTAATTTTGGTTGCAGATATAATTCCACTTCATTGGTTCTGATTCAAACATTTTTACGGGTTACGTAAATAAGTTATTTACAAGTAATGAAAGATGGTCAATGGTCTACACGCTTCACATTAATTGATACTGATAACGTGTTTGAAACGGACTTAAACATATACATTCCTTTTTGCTATCACCACATCTACTACTGCCTGGAAACAATAAGAAGCTACCATAATTGGCGGACCAAGGCACCGAACAACCAGTTTTTCATTTCACGTACTAGTTTGGTAGGCTGGGTCTGGCATAAGCCCTTGGCAACTGGGTTGTGTGTCCTTGCTGGGTGGATAGAAAGTGTTCCAGTTTGTCCTGTAGTTCCAGGTTCTAGAAAACAAAAAACAAGAATTAGGTCATCCTACGGCATATTAAAAGGAGATGTTAGGGCAGGGCTGTCATAACAAAGGAGGAGGAACCATGACATATGAGTCACAAATTATGGGGATTAGACTTTCTGGAGCAGGAGGCTCAACAGAGATCCGATGGCTAAATCCTTATAGGCCCGTCTCTTACCTCTGACTGAAGCCAGGAGACTTTCTCTCGTAGGTCTTGGATGAGAGAATCCTTCTCCTGCATGGCTGTGCGGGAGTTCTGCAGCTGTAGACACAACAGAAGACTTTAAATTATCTCTGAACACGTACCTGTGCATCACTAATAAAAGTCATGAATACATGGGAGTGTGACAACACTTTTTTTCTAGGACCTTACTAGATTCTGTGCGACTTCCCCACCATCTTTATTTTTGGAACTAAACCATGTCAGTGTTCCAGAGTCACCTTAGTGCCTAAGACTTCTTAAAGTAACCTCCCCACACCTCAGCTGGACCTCCCTTTAGAAGTATAACAGCCTCCACTCTTCTGGGAAGGCTTTCCACAAGATTTAGGAGTGTGTCTGGGGGAATTTGTGCCCATTGGTGAAGTCGGGTACGAATGCTGGATGAGAAGACCTGGTTTGCAGTGGGCGTTCCAGTTCATTCCAAAGGCCTTCAGTAGGGTTGAGGTCAGAGCTCTGTACGGGCAACACAAGTTCCTCCACAACAAGCGGGTCAAGCCATGTCTTTATGGAGCTGGCTTTGTGCACCAGGTTCAGTCATGGGGGAACAGAAAAGGGCCTTCACCAAACTGTTACCACAAGATTGGAAGAGCTCAAATGTCTTTGTATGGTATAGTAGTAACAGCACCTTACACTGGACCCCATCATTTGGTCCACATACATTTGCCCATATACTTTTGAACGTGAGGCCAATGTATATATAATACTTTTGGCCATATAGTATATTTGTCCGTTGTTCTAATGCACATTAGTGTTATCAGACTATTCCAGAGTCCTTTTTCACTTACCTGTTCAATCATCTGTCGTACTTTGCGTTGCTGGCTCTTTAACATATCATCCAGGTGGTGGATCTTCTCTTTCAGGTTAGACACAGTCTTCTCCAGCACATGACACCTAAAAATTCAAAAACAGAATAATTAGGAAGACCTTCAAGACTCGGGGTACTTCAAGAATCCATGAGGCTTGAAATATTGGAGCTCTACTTTCTGGCTTGTTATTGAACGTCCAGAACCTGGATGAGTCAGAGCTATTTGGGCTGCACTATCTTGTGTGTCATATACCCAACGGGGGTTCTAACCCTTCCATGATCCACCCAAAACCTAAATCAGATTCCGTCCTGCCTACAGCGCTGGCCTCTAATTTTAGATGAAGTACTCACTTCTCCTCTAGAGGTCCATTTTCCTGTTTCTGTCCTCTAAGACCGTCCAGCTCTATCTCATTCTCGTGCATCTTCTTCACCAAATCCTGGTGTTCCTACAGAAAGATCAAGCAGTTGGTGACCTGACCCTCACCAGAGACTCTAAAGTTCTTATCTGCATGTAAAGTGTAAATATGTTCCTGTTGATTACACAACTACATCTGACCACGGTTGGGACCATTGTTTGGTGGCAATTTGGTAAATATTTGTTAATGTTTGCCTGTGATAAGAAGTTGAACCATTTATTGCATTGTAGTAATGTGATGAAAGACAAAAACATTTCCTCAAGGTGCTTTGATTTTTTTGTATCTATGATCAGACTGTTAGGGATCATGGAATCAGGAAGCCGAGGAGCATGTAATGACTCACTGCCCGGCTTCCTGATACCGGAAGTTCGGATATCGGGCTGAGCATCGGAGCATTTGGCTGAGTACGCGCTAAAACACTCGGTATCCGTGCATCCCTAATTAATATAATCCCTGGTGATCCTGCCATAAGAGTCCACGTTCAGACACTTCCTGTTATAAGGTGACAACGTTCTGTCTCCCAACTGTGCTCCCCTGTTGTCACATGGGCTTCCGATGGAGACAACAAGTGGCTGTTTTACCAACACATTACACAGACAGGGGCTACTGTTGTCACCACCAGGAATCCCGCCCCAGCCATCGCATGGAGAGCATGTAGACAGGAAGTGGCTGCAGGAAATCATCAGCACTGAGGTTCAATAAAGGATGAGAAACGGGATTGTATTTATAAAAACATTACTTATGATAGGGCACAGAACAAGCTTAATGTTGCCCAGTTAGGGTTTACATCTGCCATAAGGTGAAGTTCTGAAATGCTTGTTAGAGCTTAGGGCATTTGCCAGCTTTGCCCAAAACAGCTCTAGACCGAGCCTGGAACGGTAATGATTCTCAGCAGTGCATTAGCAGAAGCAGCAGCTGTATAAACCTTACAAGGACAGGAAGTAGTGGTACTGAAAGCAAGTACAATCCTAGTGCTCGATAGGATCTCAACCATGCAATCAATTCATTTCATGGATCCTGCGTATTGCGTTTTCGGCTCAGTACAGCCATTGACCGTTTTCATATACTTCTAGAAGCCCAAACATGGGTCAGTTTGCCTTAAATATCATAAGCTAGGCAAATTTTCTTCCCATGTCAATCTTATATATGTGATGCCCTATATATTTCCCTCTTACCATCTCCATATTGGACATCAGCCTCCTCAACTCCTCCACCTCTCGCTGGCGGTCATCCGCTGTTTCCTCCGCTTGCTTGCGTGCTCGGTTGTGTCGCTCCAACTCCTGCTGATTCTGGTTGAGCCTTTCCTGTTCACAAGAGGAAGAGTCACAAAACTGGCCCACAAGCTGGCATTGGGTCAGAGTGAAGGCGTTGAAGAACTAACCTCATACAACTTGCGGTCAGCCTGGTGCCGCTTCTCGGTCTCCTGGAGCTTAGCATATAGCTTCTGCGCGGTCTCCCGTAAGTTCTTCCCGTTATCCAAGGGAAATTCCTGAGGGAAAATGGATTAGAGTTCTCTGTGAAGCAGCGTCAGTACATACCATTCATTTTTCCAAAAGGGGCAATCGGCTTTAAATTCTCACCTCATTGCCGTCTTTCGACTCCAACCATGGTCCCTCATAGTGCCTGACGCCATTTTGCTTTTCCGACAGCAAGACCTTAACAAAGAGAGGAGATTATGAGACAAATGAACTAGCTTCCAAAATGTAACTGCTTGTGATGACCAGTGGCGAACTACCACCATAGCGACCGTTGCGGTCGCTATGAGGCCCGCGGCAGTGGGGGGGGGCCCGGATCCTACTGACAGGACGGCACGCTAGATCACGCTGATCGAGCGGCAGGCGGGGAGGAGAGCGGAGCCGCTGTCGTCCTGTCAGTTTCAGGATGGCAGTGGCTCTGTGCATGGCAGAGCGGGAGATCGGTAAGTATCATTGCTTTTTACCGGTCCTCCGTGGGCAGAGCAAACACTGGAGTGATCGTCCGATGACTCCAGTGTTTGTAAATAACTGGGGACACATAGTACTATGTGTCCCCAGTTATGAATGAACAGGTTGTGATTTATATCACTTCCTGTTCATACATGAATTTCTCAATGGGGAGAATCGCTCAGTACAGAGGCTCCCCCGCATTCAGAAACTGCTGATAGTAAATATCTTACTATCAGCAGTTTCTGAATGAATGGGAAGCCTCTGTACTGAATGCTTCCCATTCATTGAGTGCTGAGGCTGCAGAAAAATAAATTGAGGACTCTGTGTCCTGAATGTCTTTTTCTATTTTAAAAGGTAAATGTCAGGGGGCTTTTTAGACCCCTAATATTTCCCCGAAGACCCCTAACAGTAAAATAAAAATAAATTAAAAATGTATAAATAAAAAAAAAAAGCACAACCCCCTCCCCCACACACATAGCATACACGTGCATTATATTGTGGTGTATGCCAGGCACATGTGCTCCAGTGCGTTGTTAGAACGCATCGCAATGCATGATTTTTTTTTTTTTAAACATTTAGCTGTGGCAGCACAAGGCAAACCTTTGTGACGCATTGCCGTGCATTGTGTTGTAATAAAATATACGCCTGTATCATTTTATAACAACACCAACACAGCGCAAAAACGATTAACATATTTATTATTTTTTTTTATAATCCCCCTTTTCTCAGCCTCTCATTGGTGTGGCAGTATTAAAGTAAAGTGTTAGGCCTCATTCATTCCCCAGTCACACCAGGGCGGAAGCGTTTCAGCGTGGTTTCCGCGCAATTTTTTGAAAGGTAATTTTTGGCTGTTTTTAGTCGCGTTTAAGTGCTGAAACGCAATTAAAAACGCTCATAAACGTGCTGATCAGCGCATTTTTATTGAAAACCATGTGGAAAACGTGCTGATCAGCGCGTAAAAAGTAGCTCACGGAGCATTTTGGGCCGCAAGTGGTTCAGGTCACATGGAGCCGTGCGATGGCCTGAACAGTCCCCATAAGAATGTATAGGATTGTTCATTTCGGCAGTTCAGCGTGGACAAATCCGCACGACCGAACCGCCCTGGTTTAAACACTCAACTTGTGGGGTGGTGGCGGGGGGTTTCGTTTGGGGGGGCATACAAAATTTTGCTATGGGGCCCTGGGATTTCTAGTTACGCCCCTGGTGATGACGTAATCTGATTCAATTAGGGTTGGTGTCCAACATGTTTCAGGGGTTTTCCAAACTCCAGCTTCTTCAGATAAAAATCTTCTGCCTAGAGTAGATACCTCTCTCAACTCCATTTCCAAGGTGTTCCAATCTGCCACTGACAAGCCAGCAACTCTGAAGCCCTGAAGAGGGGGTTTGGATACACCCAAAACTTGTTGGACCCCAATCAGATTAACGCCACTCTTGACCCAACTTTATCTATATAGGTTTACCTTCTCTGCTTGTTGCCCCTGTTTTGAGCTACCAAGGTCTTCTCTGAGATTCTTCAGAGACGTCCTCGCCTGGAAGAAGTCGAGACAAGCTGTTAAATATTTAAAGAGCGCATGACTACCCACAATGCACCACGCACAGACTGCACCCCCTACCCCTCCCTTCCCCAAGCCATTAGATTAGTGGCGGATCTCCAGATGACTAACAAGGTTTAAACACAGGAACTAAGCACATAATATATTTATAAAATGTGACCATGAATTATTAATGAGCTGTTCAGAGGATTGCTTCCACTCAGGATATAAAAATGTGGAGAGCTTCTGGTGACGGGGGAATTGGCGAGGGTTTTGTGTAACATGCAAAGCACGGTAAAAACATTTATTGGCGGAAATATTCGGTTGCCGATATGAGAAACATCAAGGCCCATCCTGACCAGAACAGAGCGCCTCTGTCCTCCTGAGGACCTGAACAATCTTGCTTCAAATATCACCAGGAAACTCTATAGCTCTTCAGTGTTTGTGAAAGCTCCTCCCACTGCGCCGGTCACATAGTAAACATTTATCTGCCTTCTATTACTATTGTTCGGTAAAAACATTTCTTGGTGGAAATATTCGGTCCCCCATATGAAAGACATCAAGGCCCATCCTGACCAGAACAGACCAGAGCGCCTCTGTCCTCCTAAGGACCTGAACAATCTTGCTTCAAACATCACCATCTATAGCTCTTCAATGTTTGTAAAAGCTCCTCCCACTGCGCCATTCACCTAGTAAACATTTATCTTCCTTCTATTAGAAAGGCGCCAGGACTTCAAGACCTAAGTGTACGATCAAGCAAAAGGGAACTTTGGAATAAGCTCACTGGCTCTGGTCAGGCGGTCTCGCATACAACACTTGATTCCCTTGATGGGTACCCGGAAGAAATATAGAAAAGAGCTCCAAAACTTCAAACAACATGAGAGCCCAAAAACTTTCAACGGTTCTCAATTCGATCACAAAAACTTCTGACGCGTTTCAGGAGCCAACAACACTCCTTGATAAATACATGTAGGAACCTACAAAAGGATAGGAACTTATCCGGATATATGAACTTGCACAAATATAAGTTGTATTCGAGATCTAAGTTCTTATTTTTATTATGTTTTTATTTATTTTGTAGATTTGATGAAGGGGGAGTCTTCCTTGGTCCTCAAAATGCGTTGGCTGTTTTATGTGATCAGTTGGAAGTTTTTAGACTCTCTCTTTGTTTTGGGTTTTGACGCTCTTTTCTATATTTCATCCGGGTAGCCATCGAGTAAACAAGTGTTGTAGGTGACACGCCCGACCACAGCCAGTGAGCTCCTTGCTATATCTCTATGGTATGAATCCCTTCCTAGTCCCTCCAACTTTACATCTTCATCACCTCTTGGATATGGCGGACCTCGTTCCTCAGCTGGCTGACGTTCCACTCGTGATGGGCTTTGCTCTCCGCTTTGGCCTTGAGGTACACCTGCGAGGACAGAAGAACAGGAGTTACAGCAGACATCGAGGCAATACCAACATTTGGTGCTCATTAGAGGCCTGTTTTGGCTTTAAAGGACCCCACATTAGGAAACACTTGGATTGAAAATGTTCTTCAGCATGCAGGACTTTTTTTTTTTCTGATGCACCTCAAACTGAGCTTTCGATTTACACCTAATCTGCAAATAAGGAACGCATACAGGTGACGGGTAACCAGAGTGGTAAAGATTTTCCTGGCAAGGAAGCAGGAGGTTAGTTTTGTCAATAAGCTCATGAGGACACCAAGGGAGCGATTTAAGGCTCCTGTAAACAAAGACTCTTTTGCATGTGTTCCGGCGTAAACAAGCCACGCCAAACCGTGTTCCTGCAGAATAATACCGAGGGAGGGGATTCCGGACGGTAATTATATTTTATCCCAGTTATCAGTCTCTCAGGAACTATAATTATCTTGTGTACAAGGCAGAGTGTAATCTCCATCCCATCACAGATCATATTCCGATTCCTCGGAGACTGGATGGGCAGCCTCCGCCCAGATCCACATTCCGGGAAGGTGACACAGAGGAAGGGGACAAGCTGAGCCTTCGAGATTCAATCAGCTGTGTTGGCCAGGCAGTGATGAGCTTTAGGTGGGGAAGACAAATCCGTCACCGTAGATGGAAACGGCAAAAAGGATTTGGATGACCAGAAGGGAGAAGGCCGAGAAGGCGATGGGGAGAAGGTCACTATAGGTGGGGGAACTGCCAGGGCTGAGATGGGTTAGAAATTGCCAGAAAGAGGAAAATTGTGATAGATAGATCTGAGAAGTGCCTTTTTTTGTTATGAATTTGGAAGATTCAGGCCAGACAGACATTTTTCTCATCCCTGTGCCGAGTTCCCGGGTCTGTACACCTGCTGTACCCATTATGAGGAGCTCCCACCATCCCTGTGCTGAGTTCACTGGTCTGTACACCTACTGTGTCCATTATGAGGGTCTCCCACCATCCCTGTGCTGAGTTCCCGGGTCTGTACACCTACTGTGTCCATTATGAGGGTCTCCCACCATCCCTGTGCTAAATTCCCGGGTCTGTACACCTGCTGTGCCCATTATGAGGGGCTCCCACCATCCCTGTGCTGAGTTCCCGGGCCTGTACACCTACTGTGTCCATTATGAGAAGCTCCCACGATCCATGTGCTTAGTTCCCGGGTCTGTACACCTGCTGTGTCCATTATGAGGAGCTCCCACCATCCCTGTGCTGAGTTCCCGGGTCTGTACACCTACTGTGTCCATTATGAGGGTCTCCCACCATCCCTGTGCTAAATTCCCGGGTCTGTACACCTGCTGTGCCCATTATGAGGAGCTCCCACCATCCCTGTGCTGAGTTCCCGGGCCTGTACACCTACTGTGTCCATTATGAGAAGCTCCCACGATCCATGTGCTTAGTTCCCGGGTCTGTACACCTGCTGTGTCCATTATGAGGAGCTCCCACCATCCCTGTGCTGAGTTCACAGGTCTGCACTAGGGATGCACCGATATATCGGCCGAAAATGGCACTTTTGGCTAAATGCCGAAAGTGCCATTTTGCTGCTGATACATCGGCGCATCCGTGATTTATTTCCTCCCCGCTGGGCGCTGCTGTGTCCCAGCGGGGAGGAGAGAAAGTGACAGCCGGCCGAGCGCTGCGGGAGGAGCGCTCATATCGGCCGAAAATGGCACTTTTGGCTAAATGCCGAAAGTGCCATTTTCCTGCTGATACATCGGCGCATCCGTGATTTCTTTCCTCCCCGCTGGGCGGTTCTGTGTCCCAGCGGGGAGGAGAGAAAGTGACAGCCGGCCGAGCGCTGCGGGACGAGCGCTGTGAGCGGCCGGTGTCTCTCCTCCCACACCGCTCGGCCGCCTATCACAGTGAGGCAGAGCGATGTGAGGGCGGAGACAGCGCTGTCACAGGAGGCTGAGCTCTCCTCTCTGCACCCTTCGCTTAGCCGCGTGTCAGAGAGGAGAGCAAGGTACAAACACTCAGCGATCAGTGATTGCTGAGTGTTTGTAGATAATTGAGGATATGGTATGTATACTATATCCTCAATTATGAATGAATGGGAAGTGATCTACATCCCCTCCTGATCATTCATAATTGTTCATAATGATAATTATGAATAATTGTAGTTATAGTAAACATACTCTGTCCTCATGTTATCAATGAACAGAAACACTCAGTATAGAGGATTCCTGTTAATTGATAACAGGGGACACAGAAAAAGAGATTGAGGACTCTGTGTTCTCAATCTCTTGTTCTATTTTAAAAGGGAAATATCAGGGGTCTGTTTAAACCCCTAATATTTCCCCGAAGCCCCTAAAAGTAAAGTAAAAAATATTCAATAAAAAATGAAATAAATTAAAATAAAATTTAT